TTTATTGAATTTCAGTTCTAAGAGTTTGTCAAGTAGTCGGCAATGAGGCACCCGGTCAAATTCCTTCGCATAATCAAAATAAACAATATCAACTTGCTTTCCTGCATCTAAAGCATCAGTCCAGTCATTGATAGCTTCTAGCATACACGTGGTCGTAGATTTTTTTTGCTAGAAACCCATGCTGCGATGCACTCCAAAAATTGAATTGCATTAAATGTGATTGTATACTTTTTAGCAAACACCTTTCATATGTGCGACAGATGTGGGAGGTAAGACTAATAGGGCGGTAACCTGTGCCTAATTTGGGGTTGGGGATTTTATTCAAGGGTACTACTATTGATTCTTTCCATTGGTTTGGCACTTCGCCTCTCATCATTGTAATGTTGCAAAACTGAGCAATTTGACTACTTATTTGAGGGCCAATCAGTTTTATGAATTTGAATGGAACTAGGTCTGATGTTTTAGAATACGAGCTTTTAGACTTTTTAATCATTGCGTAGATATCATTATCTGTCACCCATGGCAGCTGCTGGTCGCTAGCATATTCTTCGGGAATTTCTAATGTTTTAGATTCTTTGTTAATGTACTGGCTAGCAAAGCATATCGAAAGTGCTTCTGACTTTTCGGAAGAAGTTGTAGCTAAAGTGCCGTCAGGACTTACTATACTAGCTATTTTAGAGATTTTAGGCTTTAGCGTAGATTTCGCGCAGTGGCTGAAACCGCTGCTACCATGTTTTTCCAATTTTTTCAACTCTGTGTTTTTCCGGAACTTGTTTAGTTTTGCACGATAATTTCTCGCTGATGCGACATAGGTCCCGAAATCATCTAGTAGCCTTGTTTTTACCGCAGTCTCATACTTTATATCTACATAGCGCTTTAGGGATCTTAGGTATTCAGGGAGCTGTAGAGAATCTATGCTTGCTCTGATTTTCGGTACCGATATTTGGAAAGCTGTTTGAAGGTGGTTAATGAAATTGGAATACATTTCTGTAACAGATAATACAGAAATGTATTCCAATTTTATTAACCACCTTCTAACAGCTTTCCAAAGAGCATGCAAATGACTTGTGATCGGTTCAAAAACTAGAAAAAAAATGAAATAGAGAGAATTTTGATTTTATGATCCAGATGTTCATCCCTTCCAACTCTTCATACCACATTCCAAAGGGAACACAACTCAAAAAAAACTCCAATCTTTCTTCTTCCTCTTCCTCGTTTCTCATCCTTCTTTTCACTCATATACTCCCATCATCAAATTGTGTATCAAGAAGCGTCACCTGTGTGCTTTCTCCAAGAGAGAAAAGATGCCGGTGTTGTAAAGGTAGAAGTAAAAGAATACACAAAGAATATCTCATGCGTTTTTCGTCGTTTCTGCTGTTTTTTTTTCTTCTCTTCCGTTGAAGAATTCGCACTCTTTTCGTGTGGAGATTAGAGAAAGATAAGTGATAAGAGCATTCTTTCCTCTGTGCTCTGACTCTCTTCCAAAGAGTACATACTTCATTGATTTTTATGTTATTACCACTTATCTAACTTATCACCTACTCTAGTATCCCATTGTTATTGTTTCAGAAAGTGTAATGAAAAGCAATGGAGCTGCAAAAAAGGAAGAGAAAGTGGCGGTGGCGGGAAGAAGTAAAAGTGCGGATAGTAAATGGAAAGAACGCATGAATCGGGGAATCGGCAATATGTCGAAAAGTTTGCCCAGTTTCAATAAGGTACGGTAGAAAGACATATTCGGTTACTGTAAAGGTGCTCTTCAAGATTTAGTTTAGATATAAATTTTCCGTTTGGGAGGCCTTGTATTAGAGCATAGTTGCAAAAGGCCGGGCCGGTAGACGAATTTTCTCGGCCCAAAAAGGTTGCATTATTCAACAAAATAACAAAGTATGAAATATACAAAAAATAATTTGTTTTTGTCTAATTTTTTGAAAAAATGTCAAAAACTTCGAAAAAAAAAATCAACGTCTGAAGGTACCCCGGGCCGGG